TTATATACTTCAACAAAAACATGCTTTAACAGGCTGACTGCAGGTGTTCAGAGTCCAGCCGTCTTCTATTATGCCGGAATGTTAAAGAGATTTGCGGCCGGGCACGGTGGCTCAAGCCTGTAATCCCAGCACTTTGGGAGGCAGAGGCGGGTGGATCACGAGGTCAAGAGATCGAGACCATCCTGGTCAACATGGTGAAACCCTGTCTCTACTAAAAATACAAAAAATTAGCTGGGTGTGGTGGCGCGTGCCTGTAATCCCAGCTACTCAGGAGGCTGAGGCAGGAGAATTGCCTGAACCCAGGAGGCGGAGGTTGCGGTGAGCCGAGATTGCGCCATTGCACTCCAGCCTGGGTAACAAGAGCAAAACTCCGTCTCAAAAAAAAAAAAAAAAAAAAAGAGATTTGCAAAAATAGAAAACGGTGCACTCATTCAATTTTTTGTCTTGAAAAAGTTATTTTTTCATTAAAAATGTATTATGTAATGAGTTTCTTTTTTAAATGAATATTTAAATAATTTCTAAAACTTCTTATATAGTAAATTTTGACAAATATAAATCACCTAAAACACTCTCCAGGAGTTCTAAATAATTTTTATGAATGTAAATAGCTCCTGAGTTCCAAAGCTTTGAGAACCACTGTGATTTTGGTTCCTCTCTCACTGGCTCTCTAGTCTGGCCAGCACCTCACTTACTTCAGAACCAACTATCCCTGAGGGAATCTAAATTGGGGCACAGAACTTGCTGTTCAGCTTTTTCTATGCACTTGGGATTTCCTCTCAATTGTCCAGTCTTACTCCTTATAGAGTGGGCAGCTGATGAGAGCTCCTCAATTTCCAAGTAAATCACCTCTCTCAGGAGAACACCATATACACACGCAATCTCCAACTTCACAGAAGCTTTCACTTAAAACAAATGAGGGACCCAGAGAAAGGCAACCCCTAGAGGCCAGGAATGGGTTCAGAGCAGGACTACTGGCCCCTCAGAGGTCTTACCATGGCTTTGCATTGACACCATAACTTTAATATAAAAAGGAGCACAGGTGTTTTGTATCCACCTGCATGGTTTTAAGAATTGGAAAAGTTTAATTACAGAGTTGGCAAGCAAGTGAAATATTTCAAAATTTAACTGTTTCGGTATTTTAATGATCCAGTTTTCATTAATGAGGTTCTATAATTTTAGGATTAAAACACACCCACAAAATTATCTATTGCATCTAGTCTGCAGATGAGAAACTACTGCTCAGGAAAAAAGCCAGCCTTGCCTAAAGCCACAAATAATATGCATGGCAAAACTCCAGTTAGGAAACCATTCTCAGTGGGTCTCACATTCCTGAGCATTTTTCCAGTGAGGCACTAACTGCCCTTTTGCCCTGGACTATCTTTGTAAGGATATCTGCATAGTGAGCAGCCTTGAAAAAGTATTCCTCTAAAGCAAAGGGCAGATCTGTTTACTGTCCAGTATAATACAGAGGCCTCTCTTGGGGTTGAGGGCAAGTCTGCTTGTGGTCCGTTATCTAAGATTGCAGTTTCCTAAGGTCAGGAGATCTCAGCTGTGATGCTAATCCACTGGGCGCACAGCATCCGTATGGGTCACTTCACGTCATCCCTCTAGGAATTGGGAACAAAAGAGAAATAATACAAACTTAATGCTTGTGCTGCTTTCTTTGTGGTAAGACCGTTGTCTCTGATGGTGTTCAGGACACATTACCCCCGAAATATGGCATCCTGGCATACTGCATATTTTAAACGCTGGAGGAATCTGAAAAATGCCATGCAGTTAGGATTTTCTGACTATCCCCCGAAGCAGGTCATAAAACCCTCACATGAGAGGTGTCCCCGCTATGCTTGGAGGAAAGCAACATCCTTATCTCAGAAGAGGAAGGGACAGAGAGATATCTGAACAAAGGACTTGCTAAATTTCTCCTAGCTTATTACTTTTCGCTCATACCACTTGGTCCTATCCTATTTGTCCGCAACTTTCCACTCTTCACCAAACCTAACATAAAAACACTCAGGTTCAACCAATTCTTCAGTCTTCATTTTCTTATGAAGGCTCCTGTGTCACATAAAACTTTTACGAAATATATGTGTATGACTTTCTCTTGTTAATCTGTCTTTTGTTACAGACACCCCAGCTAAAGAACCTCAAATGGGCAGAAGGAAAGAATATTGTCCCTCCCCTGCATCTCAGACCCAGAAGGCTCCTATCTTCCACCAGCATCAGAGAAAGAATGGCAGGCTAACTTGTTAGTTTCAGGTCCCTATAGCTTCTGACTCCAATTAGACCACAAAATACAAAATAAGATGCATAATAGCCAAAAATACTTCTTAAACCACTTGCTATGACAAAGGAGTAATAAAACTGCCTGTATTTGCACTGTTACTGGGCCATATCCTTTGGGGAAAAAACAGTATGGCAACACATAGCAAAATCTTTGATCTGGTAAATTTCACTCTTAGGAATTTATATTACATCAGCTTCCCTGGAAAGAGACCTTGAGACAGAGTTATATGCAGAAAATTTAGTAGAAAGTGTTGTTCAGCAGATACCCTTCTAGGAAAACAGAGACAGGAGGATTGGGCAGAGGGAGACAATAATGTACAATGTGGCTATACCAAGGCCTCAGCCACAAATGAGCTCTGGAGTCAGGAAAGCCCTTCAGTTGGTCCAAGTTGGGGCAGATCATGATTCCCCTAGATGGTCTAGTCACTGGCTAAAGGTGTCCCCTTTGAGGCGGTGTTAACACTGAATAGCCTTCATTATCTTCACTGAATTACAGATTGATACGGCTGACATTAAAAACGGGAAACTCAAGACTTTGAGAGCATATACACTTGCAATCTCCAACTGCACAGAGAGTAGTAACACTCTGGAATAGTTCAGACAACACTAGCGAAAAAGGAGGCACAAATATAAGTGAGGAGAAACAATGGGTGTCCTTCCTATATTGGGGTATAAGTAAATACACACAATGGCAACAATCACTGTGCTTTCTGCCTGGAGCTGTGGTGACTGTTTTACATACATTACCTTATTTACTTCTCGGAATATACTGGACAGGTACTATCATCATATCCAATATACAAATGACACAAAACAGGTTAAGCAACTCACCCAAAGTGACAAGTAAACAAGTAGTGGAGCAGGGCATCAAACCCAGGTCTGCCTGACTTCAGAGCCCATGTGCTTAATTAACCAATCCATTCCATGGTCTCCCTACTTAGAGTGTTAAAAACAACAACTACAATACAACACATATTTCAAGGACATGTCATCCATTTACCCCTTCAGATCTACCTCCCGTCTTCACCATTGCTCTCTGGCCTGGGAGGCTGACCTGAATATAATGCACGGAAGGGCTCCTTTGCTGCCAGGTACATGGCTCCCTTGCTAGGATGACCTTGGGCTGGCTGTACCCCTGGATGGAAGTAGCAACTCTTGTAAGGCGCTCTCTCTACACAGCTTATCTCCAGATTCAGTCACCATTCTCCACCCGCCCCCTGACTCTGCAAGCTCAGGTGGAAATCGCTGCTACTACACAAGCTAGGAAGGTACTACACTCTCCTCATGGGTTCCCCCATGCCCCACCCCCACCTTGATAGTGTCTCCTCAGTCTGAGAGTACCATCTTTTGGGACCAACATCCTGAGCTGACACACACACCTATACATAAACAAGATGCTGAGTAATGGCAAAATTTTATCATTGACCTTCCCAGGAAAGAAACGTAAAGGTCATTTTCTGGGAACAATGTCACATTGGGGAGGGGGAAGACTATGACTGGAAACAAGATAGACACAGTCCTGCTCTTTAATAAACAACTGGAAGGAATACTTTGGCAAGTTTAGTCAAGGCATAAAATTAAACGATAGCTCCTTAGCAGCAAAGGTCCCTTCCTCCCCCTGATCCCGGCCCTGGCATTATCTTCACCCTCCTCACCAACATCTTGCTTCCTCTGACAAGTAGAGAAAAAAATGACCTTCCCCCACCCCTCCTGGTGGGTCATACTTTCTATCTTTAGAGAAGGATATCTAACCTTTCAACAAATGTCCATAGGTCAGCCAAATGAACAAGGGAATATAACATACCCAATCAAAGCCCAAATATCAGGTACAGAATGTAAAGACATAAATGTGTATGAAGGTAAGGCTTCATACACATCTTCAGTCCTTTGACCAAAGTTTAAGTAAAACTACCATACCACAGAGCTTACTAAAGTAAGAAAAGTAGCGTGGAAAATGAAAAATAGCTACCAGAAGGATTTAGCTGAACTAATGGATGAAATAAATCCATCACTCCCTTATTCAGAACTGTTGATCAGGTACTAGCCAAGCTTGGGGTTAGGCCACAAACAGTGTACCCCAGCTTCAGCACTGACTAGCTGGGTGACCCCAAGCAAGTTACCCTCTCTGACGCTTAATTCCTTAACTACAAAACGGACAGAATGACAGGAGGGAGCTCCTAAGTTGGCTGTGAAGATTAGATAACTAAGGATGTAAAGTGTTTCCTCCAGTTCCTGGTACACCCTACGGATTCAGTAAATGTTAGCTAAATGGATGGTATTACAAGTCGTAACAATTTCAAAAAAACAAACAAAAACTCCTGACCTGCCTTAAAATGCTCCACATCATGAACTGTGTAACTGAAACAAAACTGGAGAGGCCTGAAGTACACAGGCAATCTTTAGAACTTAAGGTGACAGAACATTACAGCTTCCCCAAAAGGTCTGCTGTTACTATCTGAGATATGTGGGCTAGGTTCCTTTATTCAACGTAAAAAACGACAATGTGATACATAGTGGCTGGGGGAGGGAGTAGTAAAAATGTATAAATCCATGTGCAACTTTTATAGGTTTAATATTTTCTAGTTGTGCCAGCTAACTCAACAAACTGAAAAGAAACTATTTCATGGGCTTTATCTTGCTGAAATGATGAGTTAAATTTACCAGGAGTTTGCTTCTGAATGGCCCAAGCATCATTAACGAAATTGTAATAAACCTACTCTTTCTCTTTAAGCTCTGGCAAATCCAAATACCAGTGCTCTTCACTAATGATTTTCTTTTCTTCCTCTTCCAGTTGTTTCTTGGTTTCTGAGTCCAGTCCCCTTTGCATAAACTGTGGGAAAGAAAAAATCAATGTCAGAAACTTTTTCCATTTTAGAACTGAGGAAACCTCAAATAATTTCCTTCTACTTGCTATCCCTCATTTATCTATGGAGCCTACCTCAAGACTGAGAGTTGGGGCAAATGATCAAATGGTTTAGCTCTTCCCTTCCAACTTTACACTAGATGATGAGGGATGGTGTCAGGGTATGTGAAAATACACAATGTATGCTTCCTTTGGAAACTTAAGGGCTAAGACACCACATTCAAGGGTCTTCTTCTCACCCACGGAGCCCACTGGTTTTTGCACCTGCTGATCTTGGGTTGAAATGCTCTTCCTACCCTCTTCCACCTGGCCAACTCCTCACCCATCTGACATGTAAACTTACGCCACTTCTGTGATGCCATCCCTGGCAGGTGCCAGTAAAATCAGTGTCTCTGTCCTAAATGCTTTCATGGCTCCCTCCAACAGACTCACCACATCTTAACTTTTTGAGCATCTTTCTCTTCTGGAGACCTTTAGGACTGGGACTGTGTCTGAGTCATCTCCTTCATCTGTCCCAGAAAGATGACTGAAGCACAGTAAGAGCCCAATAAATGTAGACAGAAGCAAAGGTGCATCTATAAGTCTGCTCTTTTTTATTTTTCCTCCGAAATGCTGCTAAACTCTTCAGCTGCTCTTATTATCAAATCTGCAGAAATCTGACAATATGGCAGTAAATAACAGTCCTGCTGCTAGTCTCTCGCCAGCATGAATATCTACATTTCTTCTGAGAACAAGTGAACAAACTTAAGAGGCAAACCAGAACAAAATGATAAAATACCAACACTGGAGAAAATAAAATCAGAAAACACCCAGGAGCCTCCTAGCAGTTAGGTTTCAGGTTCCACTGGTTTCTATGTGCCCTCATTTATTTCCCTTATTCAGGCCCCATATTTCTTCTCTTTCTATTTCAGTTCTTCCAAAAAGAAACACAAGCCTTTTTAGGCATAAAGGCTTTAAGTTAAATGAAAAAAACCTTAAGAACGTTCATGAATAAAATGTGCTGCAAAATGATGTTTGGTCAATGATGAAACCCATATATGATGGTGGTCCCCTAAAATTATACTACTGCATTTTTACTGTACCTTTTCTATGTCTAGATATGTTTAGATATACAAATACTTACCACTGTGTTACAACAGCCTACAGTATACAGTATAGCAGCATGCTGTACAGGTTTGTAGCCTACGAACAAGAGGCTGTGCCATACAGCCTAGGTGTGTGGTAGGCTATCCCATCCAGGTTTGTGTACATCAGCTCTATGATGCTCTCACAATGACGAAATCCCCTAACAAAGCATTTTTCAGAATGTATCCCTGTTAAGTAACACATGCCTGTGATAACATCAAGTGCTCATGAGAATGTGAAGAAACTGATCACTCATACACGGCTAATGGGAAAGTAAATGGTACAGCCACTGTGGAAAACACCTTGGCAGTTTCTTAGCAAACTAAACATACACTTACCATATGACCCAGCAACTGTCTGCACAAAGTAGTGCATGTAAAATGGTGAAATCTGAGTAAGCTCACTGTCACTGTCCTGGCTCTTTATTGTCTTCTAGTGATATAAAATGTTGCTGCTGAGGGAGGTGGCATGAAGGATGCCCGAGATATCCCAGAACACTTTTTGCAACTCCCTGTGAATATATTACTATTTTAAATAAAAAAAGAAAGCAAGTTTGTAGACTACTGTCTTGTAGTCCTCACCCATTTCACCTGTGTCTATACCCTCATCCCAGGAAAGAACTGCAGTTTCTGCAATGTACACAATATACTACCCAGTCCTTTTGCCTTTGCTATTTAACATGTTTCCATTTTTTGCCTCACAGTATTTACTCTTGTAGGCCCACAGCATGTGTCCTCTGGTAAGACTTCCCCAATTGGCATTTGGCTTGGCTTTTCGTAGGCCTGCTCCTATAAAGTAGCACCTTTCCAAGACAGCCTTATCAACACTGGATTATTGTCCATCACAGTGTTTCTTTGGTGTCTCCCAAGACTACGATTCTGAATAGACCATGACTCTCACTCATCTTGTACCATTGGTACTTAGGCTGCACCCCTGGGACACAAAAGAGCTCACTCAATCAAGGTTCTCTGAATGTAAAAGAACCTAGACTTGTCTTATTTTTCCAGACTCTCTTTCTGGGATGGTTTTCTTGAAATGCAGATGCCTCATTAAATCACTAATATTCCTCATGGTAAAACTCATCAATACTGCCCAACTGCCCTTTTTTCTCCCATTTAGTCATGTACCTATTCTTTTGGTATACAAAAGAGCCATAAACTTATGTTCTGTACACAGGGAAAGGACAGAACTACCTGTGAATATAAATCAAGCACCTCCAGACTTACATAGAAGTTCAATTCTCTTAATCTAGAGCATTTCAGAACACAGTCTAAAACTAGTGAGGACTCAGAGCAGGCATCAGCACAATACCGTCCTCAGGCTGGATGCCTGCTGTTGTTGATATATTTTTACTAGTACACAGCCATGGTCATTTGGTCCTGAACAACAATGGCAGAGCTCAGTAGCTGTAACAGAGATTGCCTGTCTCATAAGCCCAAAATATTTATTTATATGGTCCTTTGCAGAAAGTTTGCCAAGCCCTGTTCTAAGAGTCTAATAGTGTTAAAATCACAAATAAGCACCCTCTCTACAACCATTCCATACTGGCAGACCTTCTATCCACATCCTCCTTTTTCTGCTTCCCATCAGGATCACCCCGCAACGGCTTACCAAGTCAGAGGCATTGAAGTGAGTCAGGATTAAATCCTCAACCCTATCATACTTGCCATAAAAAGTGGTTCCTGACCTTTTTGGCACTAGGGATTGGTTTCCTGGAAGACAATTTTTCCATGGGGTGGGTGGTGGAGGAGGAGAGGGACAAATGGTTTAGGGATGATTCAAGCGCATTACATTTACTGTGCACTTTGTTTCTAATATTGTAATACGTAATGAAATAATTAGACAACTCACCATAATCTAGAATCAGTAGAAGCCCTGAGCTTGTTTTCCTGCAACTGGGACAGTCCCATCTGGGGGTGATGGGAGACAGTGATAGACCATCAGGCATTGGATTCTCCTAAGTAGCATGCCAGGTAGGTCCCTCATATGTGCAGTTCACAGTACAGTTCGTGTTCCTAGGAGAATCTAATGTTGCTAATGATCTGACAGGAGGCAGAGCTCGGGTAGTAATGCAAGCTAGGGAAAGCAACCGTAAATGCAGATGAAGCTTCCCTCACTTGCTTGCCTGCCTGCCACTCACCTCCTGCTGTGTAGCTCAGTCCTAACAGGCCTGGACTGGTACTGGTCCATGGCTCAGAGGTTGAGGACTCATGCTATATAGGACTTAGCTATGGCTATCCCACCCAAGTGCAGCTGCTCCATGCCTCCTCACAGTATACTCTGTTCAATTAGTATAGGTAGTGTCTCCTGCTATCTTGCCAGTAAGTTCTTTGTTATCGATGACCAAAAGCTGCTAAACCAAATAGAGAACTTGGGTGATCTTCTTCCCTCTCCTTTGCTTCCAATGTTCAATTGGGTCTCCCCACTTGGTGGGGGTGGATACTTGTTTTAAGTTAATTTCCTCCTTTTTAGTTGCAACTCAGATCTTTAGTTTGAGCCTGAGTCACCCAGTACATCATCTGGCTTATTCCAAAAGCTAAAACAATTGCTAAAATCTTTTCAGTATCTGCTTGGCCAATTCACTCCACTTCTCTGAAATTAAATGTTATTACAAATCCTAAAATCAAAAGCAAACTCTGATCCATATTCAAATTTTGCTAATATCCATGAAAGTGCTTGACAAACTATAAGTTATGCTACAATTTATCCTCCACTCTCATTCACCCTTTCATCCCTAATTCCATCCTAGCTCAACTCCATTCAAATCTTGCATGTGTAATGTTTACTCTCTAATCTTTCTCGTTTTGAGACAGGGTCTCCCTCTGTCACCCAGGCTGGAGTGCAGTGGCACCATCTCAGCTGACTGTAGGCTCGATCTCCCAGGCTCAAGCGATCCTCCCACCTCAGCCTCCCCAGTAGCTGGGACTACAGGTGCGTGTCACCACGCCTGGTTAATATTTTGTATTTTTTGTAGAGATGGGGTTTCACCACGTTACCCAGGCTGGTGTCAAACTCCTGGGCTTAACCGATTTGCCTACCTCAGCCTCCCAAAGTGCTGGTATCACAGGCGCGAGTCACTGCGAATGGGCTCTCTCTCCAATCTTTCAGAACGCTATGAATAGCTTCCTTCATTTTTTTTTTTTCTTTTGGAAATTCCACCTCTTTAAACATGACATGTAACAGTTTGCTCTCTATTAGTAGTGCTCAGTGAGAGGCATTACAGAGTAGTGATAAGGGGCGAGGGTTCTGGAGCTAGATTGAGTTCCATCCCGTATGCACTACTTATTAGTTGTGTAACTCTGGGTAAGTTACTTCCTGTAGTCACCTCAAAGTGTCATTATGTGAACTGCATAGGTTAATATATGCAAAACACTTAAAACATTGTCGAGTATCCACAACATGTAAATATTTGCTATTTTTGATACTGTTCCTGTGTCAATAGCTTTCCACTGCTCACAAAATAAAGGAAAATATCCTTAATCGGGCCTAAAATTCCCTGCACGTTGTGACCATGGCGTACTCTGCAAGCTCATTTCTTAGTATTTGCCTTCCAAACATTATCTCTAGTTATTGGAAACAATTATCTCTAGTTCTTGGAAATCTCCATGCTTTTCTTTTTCCTTCTTGCCTCCGGGGCCTCTGAACTCAGTTTTTCCTACTTTAGGACGCTGTGCCTCCCACCCTACCAGTAACCTAAAGGGACCACTACCCTGCGAGAAGTTCAGTGAGTTCCCAGGGTCCCTGGCGCTTCTACCCTCAGTGAACTTGGTAAACTGTACCCTGACTGCTTGCTTACGTATATATAATCCGATCCGCCCGCGGGCCTCCAGAGAGAGTCAGCCTAAATCATAACCTGGTTCCCAGTAAACAGTGCAGAGCAGGCGCTAAGTGAATGAATGAGCGCAAGAGCTGGAAGCCTTTAGGGCCTCTCTGGTGTCCCCCGTCCGCCCGCCGCCTCGGCCCAGGTCAGGTCGGAAGGACCAGGTGCCCCTACCGCCCGGCGTGGCTCAGCGTCCCCGCACCTTCATGCGTAGCAGATTCTTGGACAACTTCGTCTTGCGCTCGGCCGCCATGGTGGCTCCCGCCCAGCGCCGCCCTCGGCCGCGAGCCTCACCGCACATGCGCGGAGCGGAGTGCGTAGCTGCGTGACGTGTATAACCCGCGACGCCCCTCCCTACCCCGCCCTGCAGCTCCGCCCGGTGTCTCCCGCGCCGGCGCGGCGCCTCTGTGGGCGTTCTGCTGACTGAAAGGCTCGGGTAAGCGCGCAGGGCAGTGGCGCGGGGAGGAGCGCGGCAGATACTAAAGAGGCCAAAGTCAGAGGAGGCCCCAGAGCCTTGCTCCCCCGAGCTGTGGGCCGCCCACCTCGAAGGCCTAGCCTCCCTCAGGGACCCCCTTCCTCAGGCACCCCCTCCGGACTCAGCAGTCCTCGCCGGCCCCATAGGTTCCCGCTATGCCTGCCACCCGCCCGGGCAGTGTTAACTCTGTGTTTTGTCTTCATAACGTGAGCGGCGGGCTGCCTGTGTTCTGGGTGGCTTTGCAGGGGCCACGTCGTTTTCACTAGGGCCCCCCGAGTTGCTCCCGTCCTCACAGCAGCCCGGAGTCCCGGGGGAAGGCGGCCGGGTCCGCCCCGGGCAGTCTGGCTTCCGGTCCCCACGCGGAGCCGCCTTCATCCCGCGGGCTGCTGCGGATGCGACTCCGGCTGAGGGATCTCCGCGAAACAGAAGAATTGCAAGGAGCAGCAAGAGATGGAGGCAGGGATGGGTTCCAAACACACGTGCATGAGAGGAAGGCCTGGTTTTGATCTAAAGAATGGAAAAGATCAGCCTGGGCAACATAGGGAGACCCCATCCCACCCAAAAATGAATAAATAAATAAATAACTGGGTGTGGTGGCTTGGACCTGTGATCCCCGCTGCTTGGGAGGCTGAGGCTGGAGAATTGCCGGAACTCGGGAGGTCGAGCAGTGAGCTGAAAACCCGCCACTGGACTCCAGTAAGGGCTACAGAGCGACATCCTGTCTCAAAAACAAAACAAAACAAAAAAACAAAAAAATTAAACACTGTAAATAGGATAGCGTTCATACCCCGTTGTTTAATGCTCTGGGTACCACCTAAAGACGTTTTCAAAAACCATTCCCAGGTCGATGCTGTGGAACACCCTAAAGCCAGTAGCATCTCAGCTGACGAGCATGGGCTCTATGTCAGATTCTTGAGCTGGGCACTGAAAAGTACAGTAATTAGTTCAGTTAATCTTTATAAGAACGGGAAGAACGTATGAAAATCGTGTTGTTAGGGATTCTGAGACTGCGGGTAAGGGACTTGCTGGAGTTCACACAGTTACTCCATGTTAGAGATGAAATTCAAAAACCGATTTGGATGTTGAAAGCCCTTTAGGTTTTCCCAGGAGTAAATAAAATCATTGTAATGTGCTAAGTGGCTATAGAATCTCACTCACTTGTGACTGTGTGTGAGATGCCAGGACATAATACCGTGTGAAAACGTATCTCCACTTTTCCTGAAGCTGACATTCTGGACATAAATAAGTGCTGAATGCTGTGAAAGAAAACAGTGACGTGATAGAATAACGTTCAGGGTTACTTTAGACAAGGTGGTCCGGAATGGCCCTCGTCAGATGATAGTGCTAAGGCTTGAAAGTTGAGAAAAACCTGTTATATGAAGAGTTGGGAGGTAGAGTGTGCTCAGGAGACAGAGCAGCAACTGTTAAGTTCCTGAAATATGAACAAAACAAAGTCCCTGTTGTTATAAAGTGTAACAGTGGAAAAACAGTGAGGTTAATCATAAGCCACATTGCATCCCCTAAAATTCATACGTTGGAGTCCCAACGTCTAGTACCTCAGAATCTGAGTGTATTTGGAGATAGGGCCTTTAAAGATGTCATTAAGTTAAAATGGGACTCTTAGCTGAGCCCTAATCCAGTCTGACTGACATCCTCATAAGAAGAGGAAATTTGGGGCTGGGTGCAGTTGCTCACACCTGTAATCCCAGCAGTTTGGGAGGCCAAGGTGGGCGGATCACCAGGCTGGTCAGGAGTTGGAGACTACCCTAGCCAACATGGTGAAACCCCGTCTCTACTAAAAATACAAAAAAAGTAGCCAAGCGTGGTGGTGTGCGCCTGTAATCTCAGCTAATAGTGAGACTTAGGCAGGAGAATTGCGGGAACCCAGCAGGCAAGGCTGCAGTGAGTCGAGATCCTGCAGCTGCACTCCAGTCTGGGTGACAGAGCAAGGCTCCATCTCAAAAAACAAAACAAAACAAAACAAAAACAATAAAAGAAGAGGAAATTGGACACAAACACCCAGGTTGTGTTTGCGTAAAAGAAAGCCTATCTGAAAGCCAAAAGAAAAAGCCCTCTGGAGAAACCAAACCTACCAACACCTTGATCTTAGACTTCTAGCCTCCAGCACTGTGAGGAAATCACACCCAGTCTGTATAAGGCACCCAGTCTCTAGTGTTTTCTCACAGTAACCCTAGCAAACTAATGTACCATATAATTAGCTGTAGATGACAGTTTTGATGAGAGGCCTGTAAAGAAAGTATGAGGATCATGAAAGGGTACAGCAAGTGTACCTAAACCATTCTGGCCTGGAAAAAGGACTCTCCTAAATGTGGAGAGGAGTAAATCAGGGGAAAGGCCCACCAATCGTTCATATTGTTGTGATACCTTGACCAGCATCCAACCATAGGACTCCAACTTGCAAGTTCCTGTTAAACAATAATTCCTCAGCCCCTCAGGACTGCTGTCTGTCTCTACAAATTTGACTTTTGTGCAGGATTTTCAAAGAGGTGCTGTGAGAGTAGAGGTGAAAGGGAAAGGGACTCAACCTGCCATCTGTATTTGGGAAACTGAGGGGTGATTGAACTGGATGAGCACATGTCTTCTCAGCTTCAGAAGAGGAAGACAGCATTCTCAGCAGACATAAGCGCATATATCTGTCATCTAAGGATGCTAGAAATGCCACATCTTCTCTGTGGACCCCTATTATACCAGTCCGGATTCTGATTTGTTTTCCTGAAACATTGACATTATTATGTTATTCGTTCACTCTAAAATTTAAAATGTCCATTATTGTCTGAGAGAGAAAGGTCAACTTCTTCAGCCTGCCACTCCAAATTCCATTTTTCTATTTGATGGTGGAAATCCTTATAATTAGGAAGAATCCCCCAGGTCTCTTCCCACCCCTCAACATGTTATAAATGAGAAGTGATTTAAGAGTAATAGTGTAATTTTAACTTTGAAAACTACCTGAGAAGATAATTCCTTGATCTTTCCATGTACCTGAATTGCAGAGCACAGAGGATAGATCTCAGAATCAATGTGTTAACCTGTTGTAGTTGCCCAGCCAAATAAACATCATTTTGGGGGAAGAAATATTTCAAGTAGGTCTCCACACAGTTTTGAGTCCTGTCATAATGGAATTTGTTGGAGGTGTGAAAGCCTCCAGTTCTTGCTAACTACTGGATCCATCAAGAAAAGGTTACCTATGTCTCTTAGCTCCTGTAGCAGAGCTAAGGCCGTGGTGCCTAGTACATAGATGCTTGTCGTATCTGGCTACTGAACACTTGAAATATGGCTAGTGCAACTGAGAAAAATTATTAACAATATTTTAGTTAAATTTTTTATTTTATTAACTTTATTTTTTTGAGACAGAGTCTTGCTCTATTGCTCAGGCTGGAGTGCAGTGGTACGATCTTGACTCACTGCAACCTCCACTTCCCAGGTTCAAGCAATTCTCATGACTCAGCCTCCTGATTAGCTGGGATTATAGGCACCCACCACCACAGTCAGCTAATATTTGAATTTTTAGAAGAGACGGGTTTTTGCCATGTTGGCAAGGCTGCTGTAGAACTCGTGGCTTCAAGCAGTCTGCCACCTCAGCCTCCCAAATTGCTGGGATTACAGGCGTGAGCCTCCATGCCCAGCAATTTAAATTTTAAAAGTAATAGTGTGAGTTATTTTTCTGTACATGCGGCTTTATTGCTTGAAAGGAACTTATATCTCTTTAACCTTTCAGAATTTAGCATCTGAATTGAGATGTGCTTTAAGTGTAAAATACATACCACACTTCAAAAGACACTAAAAACCTCATTTTTTTCATATTGTATGTTGTTAATTAAGAGATATTTGTTTAAATAAAAAATAGCCAAAAACTAATGTCATCTGTTTCTGCTTACTTTTTAAAATATGGCTGCTAGAATATCCAACATTACATGTGTGGCTTGCATTTTTTTCTTTTCTTTTTTTTTAATACTGCAATGACTGTGCATGCATTCTCAGTGCAGAAATTAGAGAAGAGTCTGGGGTGAACGTGGGAAGGAACTCTTTTATGCACTGAGACGATGAAGATGGTATGTTAAGTATTAGTTTTTGTTCATTCGTTTGTTTGTAGGTACCAGGTATTGAAATGACTTATTAAGTAAAATGGTGGTACAGAAGGATACTGAGTAGTTCATAGATGATGAGAAGGCTTGATAACAAGGCTAAGTTAAAAGAACAGAAACCAGGGCCTTCGAGGGAACTTAATGACACAGCAAAAAGGATGAACACCAGTTGATTTCTCTGCTCTTTGGACACTTTACTCAGGTTTTCAAAATCAGGGAGAGAGTTTTGTTATGTCTCAGCTAAGGAGGGCAAGACCTGATTTACAATTCCAACAAGACTATACACAATAGGGGAGGGTAATTCTTTAAAGAGAAATTGGGTGCTGTTCCTCAGAGATAGTTGCTGTACTAGCCAAAACAGCAATGCCAAGGGCATGTCCGCTTAAAGCAGGGTGAGAGTTCTGTTGAGACAGCTGGAAGGACACGCAAATGGTTGAGTGTCAGGTGGGAAATTCATATCCAACATCAAATCCATCTCACAAAATGTGCTCCCTCTTTCTGCTTCCCTGATTTATTCATCTTTTTTTTTTTTTTTTTGGCTGCCTGTTACATGCAAATTGTGACTCCAACCAGTCTAAAAATGTAGTAGTGTAAGGCATTCCTTCTGCTCTTACATTCAATTACTTATTACCTTTTTATGGGTGTCTTGGTTAAATCAGAACATTAGTGCGGAAAATGGCCTTATATGACATCTAGATAATTCCTAACCATCAGTAAGTTCTTATG